TTCCAAAATGTGGTGCCATTTACCTTTCGATCAAAACATTTCTCCACCGCAGTATTTAGGCGGCTACCCAACACTGCGGCTTGTGATCCTAGTCGTGGTACGGTTGTTTCTTTCTTAGGTGCACATCTGGACTTGGCTCTTAAGAAAGCGACATCAATATTGTTACCTTGTTTCATACGTAAGTATGCTACTGCAACATATGCAGTATGTTATCACTGGCGTCCATAGAAACGTGGAATTGTACTTCTTGTGCCGTTGAAATTAATGGCGAAAAACAACGCGGTACAGCAAAATGACTAACGTTCTAAAATTCTGACCACCATTTACTCCACTGTATTGCAAGTTGAGAAGGTAAAACATCGTCCCACTCAATTTGCAGCTTACAAGTAGCCTGGAGTAATATTTTAATGTCGATTGTAATATTTGCCAACAAACCAAATGGATCATAAATAGCCATGGCTAAACCTAGTAATTCTTTCATCATTGGCGGCCGTTTGCCATCTTAAACAGCACGTTGAATCTTTGCGAACTTAAAGTCTAACTCTAATATGTCGTTCTTTGAATTCCAAAGCATACCTAATATTTTATCGGTTTTAGGCTAATGCTCCATGTTAATAACATCTGACGGTGTGGCGGCATTATTATTTAACTGATTCTGCAATTCTTTATGATTTGATACAAAATTTCTTAGCCGAAAACCAACGCCGTTCTTAATGGCGATTGCCTTCTTGACAACTAAATCGGCTTTTTCGATGTTATTGAAACTGATAATAAGATAATCAACATACATATTATTTGTAATGACCTTTACGCCCTTGTGCATAGTTGCTTCCAAACGAGCGGCGTTGATATTTTTAATATATTCTGCACAGCAAGATGAACTGGCGGTGCCAAATTTCATAGAAGTCATCGTATAAACTTGTGTTTGATTTGACTAATTACCGATTCTTCATAAGAATCTCTGCGAATTTCTGTTAGATTGTCTTATTTTGAGTTGTGAAAACATCTCTTGGATATCGCCTGAGTTATATTTTGTATTTAATTGAAGTTTAACACAAAATTAGTTATTTAAAATTACACAACTGAAGTTGTGAACCTTTATTTTTCATTTAAATATTAAGACTGACTTAAATCTAGTTTTGTTCGTCCTTTTATAACAACGAATTGGCACAGCAAATCGCGATAATAGACTCACATAAATAATAATTATTTACTTAGGATTATCTTAGATAAGTTATCGTTATATATGTATTTATTATTTGAGATAACCAAACTGAATACCTTTACAACATAAGTATATTTATTTACTTAGAAACAATCTAAGTTTAGTTATCATTATGAGTTTTAATTATCATTATCATTTATTATTTGAGATAACTAAGTTTTGGTAATTTTAAAATATAAGTCTTCTTTCACACTAGTGTGTTAAATTATCATTCATCCATTTATAAAAGTAAAACAGAGTTCAATGAGACGTTTGACACGGCCGCTGCTGCATCGAATACGATGCGTAATTTTTGTGTCTTATTTGGGTTCATTACTCCAAAATGCGGCAAATACCAAGTAAAAGAACTGTTGCATTCTGTTTCTTCTATTGTTAGTAGTTGAGCATAACCCTTGTCAATGTACTTGCACATTTCTTTTCTATAGTTGTCAGCATGACTTTCATCATTTGGGCATTTTTTATTCGACGTTTAACAATCTACGTTTAGCCATCTTATAGCTATGCGGTAAATGGACGTTGTCTTCTCTCCACAATAACCGAACTTCTAACTGAACCCACTATAAATAACTGAACCGAATATCGTTCACCTATATTTTTTACTGTTTCTTCAAGAATTTTCCTAGCCTGACTATTCTCTGTGGATGCAAATAAAGTGCTAGTATTTTTTATGCCAAAACTATCTATAATAAATCAAAATAATTTTTCACTAGCTGACATGATTTCATATCAAGTTTCTGACGCATATGTAAGACATTGATAACAGGATTGACGTCATCTTGTGTTGGCCCTTAGGCAACCCAACCCAACTTTGTGGCGGCGGCAATAGGTTCACCAGACTGGCATAAATGATCCTTTTGGCTACACTTAGCATGCTGTGATCCAGAATAATTAACAAACAAGGCTTGATGTTTGCATAACCATTCATTGGCAAATGATATAGATGATTCGATCGACCTTCGTCGAAAGAAAGTTTCGGAAAATCCAAATTTCTGGCAGTATGCATATTCTTCAGTTGATACGTTGTACTTTCATTCACACCTTTAACATCTAAGTCAACGATATGAGATTTTCCGGTAGTCTCCTTTTGGTTGTAGCATTGCAATGTAAGTGGCACAACGAGACTCGTGACTCCAAGTTGTTCCACAACCTCTTCCTTAAGTAGCGTTACAGATGAACCTTCGCCGAGCATTGCATAGACTGTTGTGGTAGTTCGAGGGCCGCTTACGACAACTGGTAGAATTTCAAATTTTTTTTTTTTTTTTGAAATCCATTTATTTATTACAATCTGTCAGGAATGAATGACAATAAGTAATATATATAAATTTAAATCGTAATAATGATTATTACGATATAAAAAGAAAGGCACGTATGGACTATGCCCAGTGACATATTCATATACATTGTGACCGAAAAGCTTTCGGAAATTCTCATTTAAAATTCGCGCGCTGTATATTTTTCGATATTTTTAAGTTTATGTAGTTTGGCAGCACTGTCCTTATTACTCATGCCAAAAATGAGCGGGGATTCTGTTCGACAGTGGTTTACGGCACGTGACCAGTTCACCTCAGTAGTGCGTTGCGAAAAAAACAATGGAAAAAAATATTGAACAAAGAGTTTGCATCAAATTTTGTTTTTCGAACGAAATTTCGTGTGCAGAATCGTTGCGAATGCTACAAAAGGCTTATGGGGAATCAGTTTTATCGAAAACTCAAGTTTATGAGTGGTACAAAGCCTTTCAGGACTGTCGTACGACCGTCGAAGACATGCCGCGTTCTGGACGACCTTCGACCTCTACCACCGACGAAAACATTGAAAAGGCAAAGGAAATCGTGTTCAAAAATCCTCATGTGAGTGTTAGAGAGATAGCACGAGAGCTAGGCATCGGTCGTGAGATGGCTCGTTTGATTTTGGTGGACAATTTGTGTATGCGACGTGTCAACGCCCGGCTTGTTCCGATTCACCTCAATTTGTTCAACATTATCAACGATTTTAAGGCCAAACATTCAATAAATACCATCGAACAGCCACCGTATTCACCTGATCTTGCACCGTGTGACTTTTTCCTGTTTCCCAACCTCAAATTACCACTCAGAGGAACGCGTTTTGAATCCATAGAAGACGTAAAACAGAATTCGCAGAGGGAACTCAAAGCCATACCGGAAAGCGCCTATAATGTTTTTTGATGATTCTTGGAAAGAAACGTTTGGCAATTTGTGGTAATCGCTTCTAATGGAGGCATATTTTGAAGGAGATAAAATAAATATTGATGAAGATTAAGAATTTTGCGTTTTATTTAAAATTTCCGGAAACTTTTCGGTCACAATGTATATTTAAAATAAAAGTGTATTGTCTACATATACATATTTAAAATGTCTCGCGATGTTTTTCTTCTCAGCCTTGTAAAGGTATTGGAAGGGGACATCAGTTGAATAACCAGAGGGTTTGGGTGCATATATAAGCGTTGAGCGTAATTCTTTAAAATACTTGCTATTTCTTCCTTGATTGTTCGAACATGTAATTGTTTATGTAGCTGTTCATTCGTTATATACCAAGGTGCGTTTGTGATCATTCGTAGTGTTTTAGATTGGAAGCGCTGTATAATTGCCAGGTTTGAGTCTGCTGCAGTACCCCATAATTGGGCCCCATAACTCCATATAGGTTTAAGTACAGATTTGTATATAAGCAGCTTATTGTCGAGTGACAGTTTGGAATTTCGGCTGAGGAACCAAAATAAGTTTCGTAATTTAAAACCCAAGGCTTTACGCTTTTTGAATATGTGCGATTTCCAGGTTAGCATTTCAAATAAGCAAGCATTAAAGTGATTGTGACAATTGAGTAGGTGCTCGCGTCTATTCTGAGAAATAGACGATGAGGCTACCTCAGTTGGTGATGACGTGGAAGTAACTGTGACTGAAGTGACTGATGGCATAGTTTTGATGGCTTCGGCGGCATTCATCAATATCATATGCACGTTTAGACCGGCATCCCATTAGGCTGTGACCTTGTGGAAGGCAACAGAAACATAGACGACACTCTTCAACAAATTTACATCTACTGGATATACTAAGCGACTTGAATTGACGACATGAACTTAATTTGTGACCTTGAGTACATTTATTTCAAGACATCTGCTGCTCACCATTATGGTGATTATTAGGTTTTGGTTGAGTACTGTTATGAAGTACACGACATTTTGATTAGCGTTCACTGAAGCGGCTGAAGATTGGTAGGTGACGGAACGCACGTTCCCCAAAGATAGCTGACTATTACGTTGAAATATTGGTAAGACTAGTGGTATCAGGCTTACGACCTTTACAAGATCACTTAACCATTCAGTAAACGTTTCAATACTGGGAAATTGAAGCATATTGGTGGCATATTGGTGGCATACTGACTCCATTCGAATTGCTTTGATGGTGGTAATTTTAATATGAACTACTCCAACAACATAGGATTCGATAGATAATGAGTGCAATTAACTGCTTTGAAAAATGCAATTATGTGTTCAAAACGGATTTTGTAAATTGTTGGAAATTGTTGTATCTTTTGCATTTGTGCTCGTATCAATACCTCAGGACGACCAAAATTAAATTTTAGTTGCTTTAGTACTTGTGGCACATAATCAGGAAAAATAAATAATGATGATACACTGCGTTTGGCATTATGGTGCAAAGCCTTAAATTTTGACGATTAGTATACCTGAACTTACAGATAGTGTCTGTGTAACTGGCTCAAAACAGAGGCCAATTCTCTGGATTGGCATCAAAATTTGGCAATGGATACAACTTTGTGGCTGCATTATCCATGTGCGGCGCTGCGGAATGATGTGGTGACGATACGTTGTGGATATTTTGCGGAATCTACATTGCCCATGACAAAGGATACAGATTCTTACGGCGGCGACAAGTTTGACTCAGCAAACCCAACTTGTAACGTATTGACGACAGCAAAATTTGTTTGGCTATGTTCGATAGCTGCGGCAGCAGTTCGTGCTAGACAATCTGATTTCATTTCAAATTTGGTTTTCTCTAATCAATTCCTTGAAGGTTTCAGGCTATTTATAATTGCAAATATGGCGGTTAGTTTTTCGTGGGAAATGCTGCAGTTTAGCGAGTCTTCTTGATCTTCTTTGGCGTCGCTTATCTCAACTAACGTGTTGTCTGAACTGCCTGAATTTTCATACGCTCTCTTTCGCGTCATCATTATTCATTTGACATACCAAATTAGGCGAAATAACGAACAAATTAAACTTGTATACACATATAAAAGTTGCACGTAGCAACAACTATTTAAACTTGTTAAGCAATATGCAATAAACAAAATCGAATATTAAGTTTTTTATTTGTGTATAATTCTGTTTATAGTTCTGTTTTTATTCTGTTCACAATTCTGTTCACAAATAAATAGCTGTTGGTATTATAGTATTAGCTACAAAAACTCCTCGTGCAACTTCATTGGAGCAATTAACTCAGAACTTTTTGGAACTAATATTTTACTTCTCATTGTTGTTAGTATATTTAGATGTATTGAAATATCTTCTTGCGATTCTAAGATTTATATGATTAGAACACAAGTTTCAAAATCAATTTTACAGATATATGTTATAAGAAAATCTCTCCCTATAATACCATCGGTTATAAAATTGACATCATAATTGTGTTTTATACCAAATCCTTCAAGTTTGAGTGCTACAGTTGCTTGGTCTATCAGCGTTATAGATTCATTAATGATTTCACTAACTTTGCATGGTTCTGCACAATATATTTCATCTTGACTTATTAAATTTTTCTTTATTATGGAAATATCTGCGCCTGTATTGTTTAACAATGTTACAAAATTATTACTATTTCTGCCCCGTATTTCGGCGCCTACAATTTTTCCCGAAACACGATTTTATTTATTTGTATTGAAATACAAATGGTGCACAAAATACGTGCTCCATAACTTGCAGAAATATTTCGTAAGTATCTGTTGCTATTTTGATAATTGACACTTGAATTATTAGAATTTGAATTCCGACTATAATTCCAATTAATACTGTTATTAGAATAATAATTGTTGTTTCGATTACAATTGCTATTAACTTGATTACTATAGTTATTATTTTTATAAAATTATTATTTCTATATTTATTATTATATGATTTTGTGTTTGAAAAAAAAGTCGTTTTTTCAAAGCAGTATCTATTTTAGATGCAATTTGCAGTGCATCTGCAAAAGTTTAGGGCGGAGCAGAAAAATAACATTTATGTATTGTTCTTTTATGTTTTATTATTATAGATTTGTTTTCTTCACCTTGGCTTAAAATTTTTAATTCATTTAATGAAGCTATAACATTTTTCATTTTTGTGTTAACATTTGCTAGACCTTGTTTGAGCTGACTCAATTCATTATGTAATTTTAAAGGATTTTTGTTAAGTTTGTAGCATTTTTTTAATGAATTTTTTAATTTTTCTATTGAGGAAATAGTTTCTTGTGTGAATCTGTGTTTAACTTTGTCTGTTATTTTTGCTGTTAAAATGTATTTAAGAAATAATGATTGGTCTTTATCGTTTAGAGTAAAGGCATAAAATTCAATTGCTCCCAAGAATGTTGACAATGATTTGATATCACCATCGAATTCAGAGATTATTTTTGTTGCCACGCTTATATCGAAAGACCATTTTTTAAAAATTTTTATTATTTTTATGATGTGTTTCTGAATGTTGCAATTTGTTAGTTATTAGATTAAATATCTCTTCAAGAATTTTTTTATATTTTTGGAATTGTTCAAAACTTGAATCACCTGAAATATTCAGTGATGTCAATTTTTCACTTAAAGTTTGATAATTGAGTAGTTTTGTTTTTAACGTGTTTTTTTTATTTTCTGTTTGGAAATTTAGTTATATTATGTCTTAACTTTTTAATAGATATTTCTACTTTATTCATGGATATAAAAATTTTTTTTTTTTGTAACAATAAATGTTTTACAATTTTACTTCGAAATTTTTACACTTTACTACAAATGCTTAATTTTAAACCATATTTACTTTTTCATATTAAGTTTTATTTAATATTATCTTACTTAGTTTTAATTATTATTCTACTGTAGTGACTTTGAGTTTTTTTTAATTTTTTTCATTGTTTTTATTGAAACTTAACGCTAATATAGAGGAACTTGTTATTAACATATACTTACAAGTCGTGTTTGCCATGAGTTATGAAATCATTCATTTTAGAGGATTGCTGGTTCCAGATTCCAGGATCGCCATATAATGTTTGCTTACAAATTTCAATGAATTAGGATTTCCGCTAAGGAAGCAGAATATCCAAACAATAAGAATTCTCGCTAAGAGAGCGAAATATTTTTGTTTTTAGCAGAAGTCACGCTAAGGTAGCAAGATATTCCACTTTTAGCAATTTTCGCTAAGAAAGCAAAATATTGCTATCAGTTAAAGTCTGCAGATCAATTGCAACTGATCACTTTATTCAAATTTGTTCTGTGTTTATATAATTTTCTTAGAAATTGTAGTCCCATTATAATGAAATTATTTTACTTAAGATAACTTCCTTAATCTAGAATTCTTAACATGTGTATTTAACACTAGCATAGCTTTCTTAACATAACTTTCTTAACATAAATTTTCTAACATAACTTATTTAATATAAATTAATCTTAACATAACTTATTGAACATAAATCAATCTTAAGATAACTTAACATAACTTATTATTCAAATAGAATAAAAAATTGTAGAGAATTCATATTGTAGATTTATTTACTGATACAACAGAGTTCAGAAACGTGACAACTCCTAAAAGTAACAAAATAAATCAATCCATGAGTAAACAAGCCATGCAGTTCCCTGGTTCGTATATTAGTAAACTCAAACGGAAAGGTAGGTCGCATAAAGAAATTGAAATTGACGAAACCTTTACAAGTATTTCAATTTTAGAAACCAAACAACAGAATAATGCAACCTTTTCAATAATATCAGAAAATAAAGGGGTATCTACTGAAACATCGCAAACCATATTCTCAACAAAACACCCAACTAAAGCATCAGTAATGCCATTACAGAAGTCAATAACTATAACCTCAACAATAGCTCCAGCAAAGACAGCAAGAAAACCTAACGTAATAACACTATCAATAATGCCGGGAACAACCCCAACAGTTGCACCAGTCAAACTTACGAGTTTAGTGAAAAAGACACCTACTATTCCTATTGAACTACAAATTTTCACTGTCTCTACCGGAAAAGTAAAAAAAACTGCAAATTTTTCGATTCTTCAGGCACCAACCGAAATTATTTGGATTTTGAAACAGAACAGGTCCTTATTTCATGGAAATCACCTAGGTAAGTTCAAAATTTAAAGAATTGAAATTCAGACACGAATGACGTTTCCTGTCGAAATAAAACCAGCAGACTGGTTCCACTGATCGCTATCGCTAAAACTCCATATATCATAAATAAGCGAAATCCTTCGCCGAAATTTTTAAATAAGCGATTCGTTTATTTTAGGAGAATTAGCAACCATGCGATTCTACTAACACGATCTCCTCGCTAACTTTATCCGTCAATGTTGATAAGGCTGAAAAGCATTGAAGGGTCAAAATAAAAACAAAAATTTTTAACAAATAGTTGGAATTATAATTTAAATTTGAAATTAAGAATTAAAAATTAAATTAAAACAACAATTATTATTATTATTCTTATTTAATTCTCCTTAATGGCTTTTTGGTAAGTTTTGGTGGCCGAAACTAATACAAAAAAAAAAAAACGTCAGCAATATATTCAAGTTTCCGAATATGCGACAATAAACTTTTTGGTGTTACACCTTCAGCATTAATTATAATTAAAAGAATATCAGTTTTGTTAAGGTTCCAATTACGTTTTGTTTCCACATCTAATTCCACATATCGACTACATTTTTAAAAATAAGTCCGATCCATGTTTTTCGTAATTTGTATTGAAACGTCAATGAAAAGTCCTTCTCAACGTCTTTTTATCAACAATAGTTAAGCCTCATCTATTGTGCAATCTAATGTGATCGGAATAAATATTTCGATCATAATAAATTTTGACGTATTTTTTTTGACGTATATAGTAATATATACTGCTTGTGGTGTATGCTCATAGTGCGGCATGTTTTCTCTATCAATAAGACTATATTTATTCCATATTTGCTTATGTAAAATATTAACCATGTTATTGTGGCTCTTAGTATATTCGCTTTGTGCCAAGCATGTAAATTCTGCCAGTATGTAAACAAGAAAATTAGCGCAGAGAAGTTAAGCGTAAAGAATTAGCAGAATCGCAAAAGTCACTAAAATGCATTTAAAGAATTTTAACGATGGAGTTTTAGCGTTAGTGATTAGTGGAATCGGCTTGTAGAAGAGAGTAAATTTACTTTCTGGTTTTTAATCTATTGATTCGATTTTTAATTTAATATTGCAATTTCCATAAAATATTTATTCCAAAATAAAGATGCTATTAGAGCTCATTTAATATGTTTGATTACCTAACTAGACTAAGTTAACTTGTGTATTTAATCTACACCGCTTATATTGTACATTTAAAAGGAATTTTAAAGTTTTTTTTTGTTCTGACTATTTTGTATGTTTAAATAAAAATTTAAGGAATTTGTGAATAAAAAATGATTTTCACTCAGTTTCTTGTTTCAAATACAATTATATCTAGTACCTATACGTGAGTCAAGTTAGGTAGCAAAACTTCTACAAAATAGGAAATTCTTCATTCCACCCTTTGTATCATATAATACACATGCTAGTGTGATTGGATAATGTAAAATATTCAAGCGTTCAAACTACATTGCAGTAAAAATATTAAAATTTTATTTAAAACAAATTTAATAAATTTAATGAAAAAGAAAATTACTGGCTTTTCTCTGCTCTGAATTCAACGAATATTTTTTATGTTTTCAGTGTTTTTGGTAATTTCTAAGCATAGAGAATTTTTGCGTTATTACTACATTACAAACATTCCTTTAAAAATCTTTTCAAAAAATATTATAGAGGGAAAAGTAGTGAACGACAACAACAAAATTCTTCTAATATTATTTTAATTAATTAAATTGTTTGCTGGGTATACAGTTGTTTCGAGTATTGTCCAATACCCATCATCGGTCAAAATCAGGCTTCATTAACCAACTATCCCAAAGCCATACTTGACTTGTATGTTCGAACTTATAGTTTTTTTAATTTCTTGTGAAAGTTCATTATCAAATTCACTTACTGTGCTATATCAGAACGAAATCATAAATAAGTTAGGGCCATGTTATGCAGAGTGTCTCGGGCACAGCATGAGTACAATTGTTGTTGTTTTCAATGCAAATTTTAAATTTGAGAATGAGAAAAAATATAATATGGCCGTTCAAACTCCGGCATGAGAGCCCGCGTATTTGTGCCCTAAGGCAAAACAGTGTTGTTTAGTAATAAATTTCAAAATTTGCGCCTTTTAGGAGCAAATTATTACAATTCTAAAGTGGCCCTTAGACAGCAACGCGCGTTGACAAACGCACGAAGTCTTCTCTTGCCATTACACATTAAATTTACCAACAATTTTTTAAACACGCCTCCAGCAAACAATGCAAAATTTGTTCACTCATCAGTATTAAAGCAATCGCTGAAGTGTCAACAGCGGCTGCTATGCGTAATTTCCTTACGAAAAATGATGTTTTACATTTAATTTATAATTTTAATTTATATATTTATATTTATATTTATTTTTATGATTTCAATTTATATATTTATTTTTATATATATTATATTTTATATAATTTAATTTTTAATTTAATGTTTGGTTATATTTTTTAAGCCCAAGGTTATTAATATTTTAATTCTTCTTAAAAGCATGTTTTGGAAATTAAAAAATTTTACCTAGGTAGAAAATACAAATATTTAAAATAAAAAATACAATTCATTCATATTTGCAAACCATCGCATGCTAACGACAAATCATGCGTGCATTTAAACGATGTTTACGCTTCTACTTCTCAATATAAATTAAATTTTGCATGCCGACCAAATCCGACTGTATATACAAAAACACGAGCGTGGTTGAAGAAATATCAAAATTTTTTGATTTTCGTCAACACATTTCTTAAAATTTTAAATGTTACTATTACACAAACAAATTTCGCACTTCACAAAGTAGGAGAACAGTAGGAGAAAAAATTCTCATGTGAGAGCGATTTTTTAGTATATTTGTTGTTTTATCTGGGGCGTGTTTAAAAAATTTTTAAAAAATTGTTTGTGTAAATGCAAGCGCGCGTTGACAACGAGCGTTGCTGTCTAATGGGCCCCTTTATACGTTTTGGAAAAAAAATGGCAGTTAGCAACACAGCATTTTTTTATAAATCGCTAATAATATAATTATCACACTTTCCGATTTCAATAAAAGGTGAAGGTACTATCAACAATTGTTATAAGATAATATAATAATAAATTAACAGTATTACATCCTCTATGAGGTTTTTCTGGGTAGTTATTTTTGGTGGCAAATTGAAAGTGAGCATATATAAATTTCCTTTTAAATTTAGGCACAACCAAGAAGTAGTAAAAATACAAAATTGGCAATACTGATGTGACACTCTGCATAACATGCATTTTTGGCATAGCCCGAAAGAGCGTAATTTGCCGTGCCCGAGACACTCTGCATAACATGGCACTTATACTCGTAGAAAAATTAAATTATTTATATTTCAATATTACAACAATTTTTGTAATGTTTGTTTTCGATAATAATTAAATTAACATTTATATAATATAAAAAATATTTTTTATTGTTTTGTTGAAATACTTACACATCTATTTATTGTGTCTTCTCTTACAATGAGACTAACAATAAATTTTAAAATTTTATTACTAATTACATAATATTACAACTCGTATTTTAACTATACATTGTATAATATTAAATAAAATAAGTAAACTCTATATTAGAGACCTCACTTAAATCATTAATTGGTTAATGAAATTGTTGGAGATATACTCTGATTTAAGGTAAAAATGACGTGTCTACATTTTAGTTCATTAATTTTGATTCCCCAAAATAATTGTGATTGAAGTTGGTTTGAATACAACGTTTTTATTTCGACATAAAATTGCCGTATCAACGGTAAACGTTGTGGTGACAACTGAATTACTTATATCCGATATCAGATATGTAAAGTGCATACAAGATAGGGGCTCTTGGAACGCCAGCTTTTATTGGAAAATTAGTAGAAGTAAATGATTTACATTTAACTTTAAAACTTCTGTTCCGCAGATATGATTCTAAAAGTAATTGAACGTTTGCTGGTAATAGACAGCGTATCTTATATATAAGCAAATTATGTCATACCTTCTGCTCCGATTTTTTAATAAGACACACAAATTTAAATTTTATTTCAAATTTATTTTATCTCCTTCAAAATATGCTCCTTCTGAAGCGATACACATATGCCAACGCTTAATCCAGGAAAAAGTCGCACGGCGCCAGATCTAACGAATATGGTGCCTGAGCGATGACAGTAGTGTCGTGTTTGGTCAAAAAATCGAGTACAAAAAGTATTTTCCATAGTAAAAGTCGCTAAATGCACTTGAGGTAGTCTCACATTAACAGCTGATGTAAACAAACTAATTGACAGATGGCGCTCAAATTTGTACCATATTTCAAGAAAGGGTGTACCAACATAACAAAAAATTTTTGAAAAAGGTCTATTACTTAAAGAGTAGTTAACAAACAACAAAAGAAAATTTCCTTTTTGAGCAGAAGATACTTTGTCAAATGCTTGTTTAAAATCGAGAAATACCGCGGAACAATATTCGTTATACGATTCACTTGCTCAATAGTTCCATTTTTTTTCCTAAAGCCAAACTGATGGGAGGGTATTAGGTTTTGACCGTCAAAAAATGGTTTTAGCTTTAAAAGCATTGCTCTTTCAAAGAGTTTAGAAAGGCATGGTAGTAAGCTTATTGGCCTGTATGAAGAGGCAAACGCAAGTTCTTTACCTGATTTATGAATCATTGCAATCATGGATGTTTTCCACTCTGTTGAGTTAAAACCAAATTTAATAATGGCATTAAAAAGTCTTGAGATAAAATTTATGACCAAAAGGGGTAAGTTTTTTATCATGATGGGTGAGATGTTATCATATCCCATTGCCTTTTTGCAGTCTAACTTGTTAACGTTTATTTGAACAAGATCATTAGCCGTAATATACATGTCCTGTTATGGATTTGATTGGAACGTCTTATTTAAGTAATCAGCAAATATGGTACATTCGATTTTTTTCAGCATTTTGCGCTTAGTTTCCGAAAGAGTTTGTTATTTAAGAATCGGATTCCATGGGGAAATTTATACCTTTGCT